ATTTTTTTTCCCAGTCCGCCCCTCGTGGAAATTAATGGTGCAGTCATGTAGTACAATTCCAGGACAATTATTTTTTTCCCCAAGTGAATCAGAATCATATAGCATGACTAATTCTATCTAATTCCCAGTTCTCTTTAGTGAATCAGAAGCATTCAGTGCAAACAGTGTAATCCAATTCTCAGTAAATTAATTTTTTAAAATATTTTTAAGGTCTTTTTTTAGTGAATCAAAAATACAGTATGCAATATACAAAATATACAAGATGAGTCCTCTGCACGATCTGACTTTGTTGCAACCTAGAATTAAACTGCTGGTCTCGCCTGGCCAGAGGAGAACGGCACACTATTTCGAGACACTATTTGCCTGTTTAATACTGTAAAGCTGCTTTGACACAATCTGCAATGTAAAAAGCGCTATATAAATAACGGCGACTTGACTTGACAGTGTGTCCAGTATTGTCCAGTTCCCGGACAAATGAGCTGGTTCTTTTTAGTAAATCAGAAATATAGAGCAAAACAAATTCTAGCAATTCCCAAATGAATGACTCCTATAAGCTGATTCTTTTTAGTGAATCAAAAACATTAAGTGAAATGTTAAATCCAGTTCCTGAGTGAATTACATTTATGAACAGATTCTTTTTAGACAAACACAAATAGAATGCTCCGCAGTTACTGATTTACCATAAATTACATTTCACAAGTTCACCTGCCCATCCAGTCCTGATGGTTAATGGTAAACAAACTAAGCTTGCTGTCCTTAATGGAGGCTCGAACCCGAGGCTGGATTACTAAGGCTATATGCAGGTGAGGTTTTTTTTCAGGGTTGGAGCTAAACTCTGCAGGACTGCGGCTCTCTAGGACCGAACTTGCCTACCCCTGACCTAGAGGGAGAAAAATAGAAATAGAGGAGGAGGTGGAGGGATGTCGGAAGAATTGACGCTGGGACGGTGCAATGAGAGCTGCTTATATAGGCTCGTAATGATGATTGACAGGACTGAATGATTAGGCTCCTCCCGAACCTACGTTTGGAACTTCATTTGTCATGTCCAATTCGAAATGAACCAATGACTGTGTTCTATTGTACTTAAAGAAGCGTTACGAAACCATAGTACATTTTGGAATCAATTTGATTATTGTGTTCTATTTTATTCTAAAATGTATGTTTAAAGGGGTCATATGATGTGATTTCTAGTTTTCCTTTTCTTTAATATGTTATGTAGCTGTTTGTGCATGTATACGATCTGCAGAGTTACAAAGCTCAAAGTCTCCCACAAAAGGATTTACTCTATCTAAAAGATAAGGCTGATCCAGACCGGGCTAAAACGCCTCGTTCAGAAACGCCCCCTCATCTCTACGTCACGATGTGGAAATATTTGCGTAATGCCGCCCAGATGTGTACGCAAAGAAAGAAGGCGTGGTTTCAGGAACCGCAGTAGTGTTGATGCAGCCATGTCAGGGAGACGCTGTGTGTGC